TGAGTGGTGTAATAGATAATGGTTCAGAATTGTTAATCAGAAAGCTGAGTTCCTGTTGGGTTCGTTATATTCACATACACAAATACCGTTGGTAAAGGTATGAATCCACCACTTCTCCCCCAGTTATGGGTTAAATAAACTTGTATGACTAAATCATTATTACTTTAAAAAATTCTTACAAACTAAAATATTTTCTAGCTTTAAATAAGCTGCAAAAGATTGATAAGCTGTAGAAAATGAATGAATCTTACTTATTATAAAATGCAGATTGTGTGTGTGTGTGTGTGTGTCTGTAACGTTTATATATTGGATCAGATTTCCTACATTTTTCAACCGATTTCAACAAAACTTCACAGGACTACATAAAATTACCTTGTGGTGGTTCTAACAGCGCCAAAAATGGGGAAAAATTTGTTTTTCCACAAAATCAATTTGAAAACACGATTAAGAGACATCATGAAAATGGAAGGGGGACAACTCACATCGGGTTGTTTGTGTGTGTTCCTTTAAATATGGGATCGGATTTCCTATATTTTTCAGCCGATAAAACAAAACTTCACTTTTCTTTTTTTTTTTTTTTTTTTTTTTTTTTGGCAGGTAGTGTTTCTTATTCTCTTGCACACTTTTTTCTTTATTTTTAATATTCAGAATGCTTTAAAAATTCCATTTACAAGACAATTATTTATAATAAAATTCTATTCAATCGGGAGACTCATAACGATTGAAAACAATGTTTTTGTTTGAGTTTGGGTTTGACCAATTCGTAAAAAAAAAAAAAAAAAAAAACTAATTAAGACATGCATGTCCGTCAACCTTAAACAATAATCTCACGGTCTCTACTGATTGTACAAATACAAACATTGGATAAATTCTTTATCTTTAGGTAAAGATAATGAAATCTAAACATACACAAGTCCTAACTAAAAATAATAACCAGAACGAGAAACTACTTTAAATACACATGGTGTCCAATTTTTTTACTGTATTCAATAAGTAAAAATCATAAATTGTAAAAGATTATTATTACAGAAAGGCTACTAAATGAATAAGATTTGTTAGATCATAATTAATAAACCCAAATAAAGTTAATATTTTTTGTATTAGAAACAAGTGGAAAATATATTCAAATCAGAATTCTAATTATGAATCACCACAAGCAAAATATGCAATTTTTTTTACTGTATTCAATGAGTAAAAATCATAAATTGTAAAACTAAAAGATTAAAGAAAGGCTACCTACATCTTTCAACCGATTTCAACAAAACTTCACTTTTTTTTTTTTGGCATGTAGTGTTTCTTATTGTCTTGCACTCTTTTTTCTTTATTTTTACATTCAGAATGCTTTAAAAATTCCATTTACAAGACATTTGTTTATGATAAAATTCTATTCAATCGGTAGAGACTCATAACGATTGAAAACAATGTATTTGTTCAAGTTTGACCAATTCCTAAAAAAAAAAAAAATTAAGACATGCGTGTCCGTCAACCTTAAACAAAAATCTTTGTCAATTTTATTTTTCTGTCTTTATGATGGTAGATACTTGATCTATCTCTTACTGTTATATCCCAGGGCAATGCCGGGCTCTACTGCTAGTCCATCAATAAAACTTGTTAAAATGGCAAATAGATATAAATTGCTACTTCTGACCAGGATAAGAGTGTAATATCTGTGAATATTATATTTAAAACTTTTAAACACATACAAACACACTACAAAATATATATATATATATATATATATATACACACACACACACACACACACTGTAATTTTTATATATATATATATATATATATAATGAAAATTGCAGTGCGTTTGTGTGTGCACACACACACACACACATATATATATATATATTTTTTTTTTGTATGTTTTTTTATGGATATACTTATTTGAATAAATGCTGCTCTTTTTTTAAAATTAAACAGTATTACATTTACTGGCCTGAATGTTCAAGAAACTTCGTAGAAAATATGCGTCCTATGACAGGAATTGAACCTGTATCCTATATGGAACTGTCATTAAGCTTTGTTAAACTGGAAGTTCTCTATGGCTGAATGGTGATAGCATGTTAGGCTTAATAACAATTGCATATAGGATACAGGTTCGATTCCTGTTGGAGGACGTATATTTACTACAAAATTTCTTGAACATTCAGGCTAGTAAATGTAATTAATACCATTTAATTAAAAAACAGAGCATTTATTCAAATAAGTGTATCCATAAAAAAAAAGTCTAAACAGAAAATATATTAAAATGTTTTGTCAGATTTATTTCATATATATATATAGTCATCGACAGACAGTTTCGCTGCATCAAAACTCCTCAGTGTGGCTAGACATCCAATTGCTTCAAGCTGAGATTGAAACCTGACTGATTTGACATCAGTCAGATATCTTACCTCTAGGCCATCGTCACATAGCAGAAAGGAAGGGAATTTTAACGTTTTTCTCTATACGAAATACACCAGTGGCTCAGTTAACTCAATTCATACTTGAAGAGATAATATTTCTTATTACTATAAATGTTATAATTAGTAGATACATGTTTATAGTAATTAGAAATAATGAATTAAAAAAGTCATTAAATTGCTTAAAAATATATATTTATACATTATTAACTCTAATGAAAAAAATCATATATTTTATACAAGTATTTATTTTTTAACTATCTCCTACCTTATGCATTGAGTTCAATACCAAAAATTAAGCACTTAGATGGAATATTTATGCAGTGACATTTTCAGATCAAAATTCAACAAGTAACTATCAGGATGCAGAATTATTGATGCATCTGTGTGTGTCGGAGAGAGATAGAGAGACAGACTATATAACAATGACTTCAAAGTGGACTATCTGTCAAACACTTGTAAATAATAATATGATAGTAACAGTTTTTTTTGCAGATTTCTTTCCAAACATTATAGAGAATGTTTGGAAATTTCAATTGGTCTTTCATTTGTCAGTGGTCAACAAAAAAAAATTTACTTAGTTTTGGCAACCAAGTATAAAACAATGTTTTATCATATTTGGACCAACAACAAAACTTATCCATGATGGTCAAATTTGCTGCACCTATTATAATTTCAGTCATATAATGGTGAAAAAACATATGCTAAAGAATAATGAGCATCACTTATTTAACAATTTCCAGTCATTTTTGTTCTCAAGTATAATGGTTTTGGTCTGCCATTACAAGTTGGTAGTAGATTACATAGGGAGTGAATGCCCTCCATCTTAGGCACCAATAGCAAAAAAAAATCCTAATATAGTAAAGGAAACAGGAAGTAAGTACAACCAAGTGAATTTATAAGAGCACAATTGAGTTCTTCCCTTATTCTGGTATACATTTGTTCCTGTGGGTTGGTGGGACTTCTATATCTCATTTTGTATATGTCTACTTACTTAATATGATAATTGTAAATGATTTTCATTGGAGGGTATTTCTCTGGACCTCATTAACATATTTACTGACCCTTTTGTGGTAACAGGCTGAGGAAATGCTAAAAGAAAAAAATAACTTGATATGTTATGCATGCTAAATTGCATGCATTTTTTTCTTTTAATGTTGCTGAGTAGTACTCTGGAAATTTTCTGTTTGTATTTTTATCTATGTGGAGGTGTGGCAATCTCACTCCCTTATAAAATCTGCAAAGTATGTGTCTGTTAAAAATGATAAAAAAGGATGATAGACTTATCACCCATCTTCATATTTCTATCAACAGCATGAGTAGAAAAAAATTTTTATCAAATGTTTTTTCCTTATCAGCTTAACAGTTGCAGTCTTTAAGAAAATGTACATCTCTCTCTCTCTCTCTCTCTATATATATATATATATATATATATATATATATATATATATATATATATGACTTTACAATATTTCAGATAAATGAATTTGAATTATGGGAAAAGTATAAATTTGTTCCATTGCAGTTTATTTGTGAATTGAGATGCAGCGGAATAAAACTATACACTCTTTCTTATCATGTGCAATTATATATGCCCATATATTAAGTGTTTGTTTTACTGTTTTAGAGTGCATACGAACTTTATAAGTAGCAGATCTATCAATTGAATTAATAAAACTTTTTCACTTTGTGTCAGCAGAAAATGCTAGCCTGTGACAGTGCAATGAGTCACTTTCTTGGAGGTTAGCATCGACCATACTGATGGAAGGAAAAAAGGTTCTCTAAGATGCTTAAGAGAGCAGTTTTGTTTTATTTTCACCAGTTTGTTTAATGAATGTATTGTGAGTTGGCAGAATTTCACCAACCAACTTAATTCTGTTTTGATTAACATGCTTTATTAAACAAAAAATGTCAACTTTTCAGTTTTTAATTATTATAAGTGGCAACAGAAAAAGATATTTTAGAGAAAAAGATGGTTTTAGTTCATTTTCTTATATATAGTGAAAAATGGTTATAGAATTTTTTAAAAGCTAATTCTTTAATTCATAATGAGATATGCACACACTCATGTTTTGAGCAGATCAAAAAGTAATCCAAAAATAAATTTAGGGTATTTGGTCAGATTTTGAAAAGTGGACTAAGCTGAAAACTCATCAGGCTCTGTGTGCATGAAATGTATATTTCTATTTTTACTATTCTTGATTTTGTCCCCATTTGTGGGACAAGGATCTTCAACCAATAGATATGAAGTTATCCACAGATTCCTTATAGTTGAAAAAAAATTGATGTCTGGTACTTCTGGTCCTGCTTGAATTGTCTGGACAGCTGTTGGTTGTTGTAGAGCCAATCTTGAAATGCAGGGATTTGCCACTGATGGTGATCCCAACTGCCAATTACAAACTATGGAACATCATCTAGTTTGTCCCAAGCCTGAAGATTCATGCACACTTAATAACCTTGAAATCTTAACACCTCAGGCTATGTGCAACACTGGATGGGTGTAGTGTAGTGCCTGATAAGATTGAAAATATCACTTATCACCCAAATTCACTGTCAATTAATACTTTCACATCATCCCCTTATACTAAAATGGAGCAGCCATGTGAAAATTTTGTAATGAAAAAGAAAAAAAAAAAAATGTACAGACAATGGGAGGCTTCTATTTTTAACATAAAAAATGTCTGGAGGTCAATTCTTTGTCTATTTCAGTCTGTCTTTGAATAGAAATAATATTTAAGAAGTCTTATTGATTTGATAGCATTGATTGATTTGTTTTTTATGGTCTATCAACCTATCATGGGTTATTTAAAGTAAGAAATACTTTTAGATTGTAAGAATTTTTTTGGAGATAATAATTTAGTGATACAATGAACTTAAATGGAACTCTGCTTTCCAATTTCCAGCTATTATCCATTACACTACCCACATATCTAAGCTTATAGCACCAGGTATTTCCAAGTGGTCACCCATCCAGGTACAAACCATATCATATGAGAACTGGTGTTTCAACAGGACATGGCTGTAAGCCCAATTTGTTATCAAAAAGGATAATGTGTTTAGAAAACTACTTATTTATATAACAACTAATAACTTGTTAGAATATTATACAAATTGGGATAAAGTATTTTTTGTATTTAGTAGTGCTGAAAAGTTCTAATCTTGACCCATTTCCAAAAATCTGGCCAAATAACCAAAGCTAAGTTTTGAGAGATTTTTGGTTGAGCTGAGAAATTTTCATATGAGTAGTTTTGGCTCTTATTACTGAAGCTGATATTGTTACTCAAACCTGTTTATGGTTGACCTGTTTTCATTCAATTATTGAAGTTAAGCAATGTCAAGATGGGTGACTGCTTGTAAAAACACCTGGTACTTTAAGCAACCTCCTACAATCCAAAACATGTTTTGGCTTTAAATAAATCCCCAAAAGTTGATAAGCCGTAAAAAAACAAAACAATATGGTTGAAGAAAAATGTCAATTTTTTTGTAGTCTTTAATCAAGTAAGTTTTTTTTCTTCTTTTTCTTCTTTTTTTCTTCTTTTTTTTCTTATTTTTTTACTTTTTTTTTCTTCTTTTCTTCTTCTTTTTCTTCTTTTTTTCTTTTTCTTCTTTTTTCTTCTTCTTTTTTGTTCTTTTTCTTTTTTTGTTCTTTTTCTTTTTTTGTTCTTTTTCTTTTTTGTTCTTTTTCTTTTTTGTTCTTTTTCTTTTTTGTTCTTTTTCTTTTTTGTTCTTTTTCTTTTTTGTTCTTTTTCTTTTTCTTTTTTTCTTTTTTTCTTTCTTTTCTCTCTCTTTTCTCTCTTTTTTTCTCTCTTTTCTCTCTTTTCTATCTCTTTTCTATCTCTTTCTATCTCTTTTCTATCTCTTTTCTATCTCTTTTCTATCTCTTTTCTCTCTCTTTTCTCTCTCTTTTCTCTCTCTTTTTTCTCTCTTTTTTCTCTCTCTTTTCTCTCTTTTTTCTCTCTTTTTCTCTTTTTTCTCTTTTTTCTCTTTTTTTCTCTTTTTTCTTTTTTTTTTCTCTCTTTTTTTTCTTTTTCTCTCTTTTTTCTTTCTCTTTTTCTCTTTTTTCTTTCTCTTTTTCTCTTTTTTCTTTCTCTTTTTCTCTTTTTTCTTTCTCTTTTTCTCTCTTTTCTCTTTCTCTTTTTCTCTTCTTTTTTTTTCTTTTTTTCTTTTTTTTTTTCTTTTTTTTTTGTTCTTTTTTGTTAATACAGGACTCAAGAGCTACTCAAAGCAGAGGGTTATGGAATTGAGGTTGTTGTATGAGTGTAAGAGGAGGAGGTGCAATTTATGAGACCATGTAGGAAACAAATCTGTTAACCCTAAATAAAAATGTTAAGATTGTAGAGTGATCAAGAAAACATCCTCTCAGGAGTCTGTTCCACAAAGTAGTTGTTCTTGAAGTTGTGGAATTTTCTTCTTACTAATGGAATGCAAAGAGGATTCATTCCAGTGTATGTGACATGGTGGGTCTTAGCTGTGAAGGTCAGAATTGATTGAACTATGAGAAGAATCTTTTTGTATTCATCAAAAACAGTTTCTTGATTTAATTTTATATAAATTATGAGATTCTGAATGTTGTAGCCTTTGGTATTGAGTGGAAATTTCACCTTTTAAATAGTCAAGCTTGCTATTAATTTTAAATTAGATGAAGCACACACACTTTTCATTTGTGATTTGTTAGAACTTGTTGGATATTTGTTCTGATCACAAGCCAGATAGCCTTCTTATCGAACATTCCAGATATAAAAAAGTGAATTATTAAATTCAACCTAGTTTTACAATAATACATGAGCAGCAAATATGTTGCAACTTGTTAATATGTATGAACAATCTCTTGGAAGCCTGCAGTTTCTGCAGTGTCCTTTGGCTGCAATTTGCAATTCTTCTGTTGACATGAAAGGACTCTTTAAACTCTTACTCTTTTTTTTTTTTTTTTTTTTCCATGCAAGTCTTTATGTATGTTAAAGAACTCTTTCATTCCCCTACCAAATCATATATAGAAAATATAATTTATGTGCATAATACCAAGATCGTTTGTAAAAAGCCCAAGAGACTGGGTGGCATGAGTTCTACTTGTGAAATCAATAAAATATTTTGTTCCTATTAATCATAATTCTGTTGAATTTTATGTTTTTCTAACTATACTTTATGATTACTAGATATGTATACCAGTTGGATTTATTACATTCACTTACGTGCAAATAACCTTGGGAAATGTATGACTCCATCATCCCAGCTATGGGTGAAATAGTAAAATTTGTATCAGGGGAAAATCATTGTTATTCTCCAAAAAATTATTAATGCAATATTCACTTGCAAAAAAGAAAAGCTATTATTCTTATAATCCAATGATGTTTCAGTTTTAAATAACCCACAAAGGCATAAAAACAAATCAATAAGTCAATTAGATATGTATATGTGCTGGTAGCAAAACAGTTATCATCAACACAGAAATTTGAATCATTGGCCTAGTTTGTTTTGCTCACTTTTCCACAAATGCTTTTAGGAAAAGGCATGAATCGAATCCATCTCTTCACTCTCCAGCTACGGTTAAATACCAGTGCAGACTGAGTTCTCTAGTCTTGGGTGGCATCCAATCCAAAAAAAGGAAAATTTTTAAATCAAAACCACAGAGAATGCAATAAGAAACCTCTCCACTTTTCTCAAGAAGTCATGGCAAGTCATCAGGAAAAGGAATCTGGAGCGCTATGATTATCTATATCCTGAAGAAACATGATATTAATAAAAAGAAAAAAAAATATATATGCAGAATTACAGTAAAACTGCTTCAGATATAGAAAAGATAATTTTTGTACATTTTCTTCTATGTGCTGTGTCACTTCAGGAGTTGGCAATCATGGCTCTCTACAATTTCCTGTCCTTTGTACTTCTTAATAAATTTTGTTTTTTTTATCTCTCCTAAACCTTGTTTCACCATCCATTTTCTCAAACTAGCTAGGTTATGCGTTGTTTTTCTCTATCTCTTGCTTTCAATATGTCCTGTGAGTATCAAATTTTCCAAGGCCTCTTTATTCATTATGTAGAAATTTCAATGATCTCTTTCTGATGTTAAGTATAAGTTTTCTTTTTGTTTCCATTTTCTCTAAAATTTCTTTGTTGCTCACATGTTCAGTTCATGTTATTCTCAGCATCCTTCTGTAGAACAACATTTCTGTTGCTTCAAGTCTTTTCATCCAATATTCACTGCCATATAAGAGGACTGATACTATTTTCTTTGCTTGTAATGAAATTTTCTGTTTCTTAAGACTTTCCTTAGCTTTTGGAAGGCATATTTCACTATCCACAATGTGCCTTTGGATTTCAATGTTGTTAAAACACTTCCCAGATTAGATTTGTTTGATTTTGGTATCTCCAATTTGTAATTTGCTGTTCCTTTTGCTAGCAACCTTGCATTTTGTCTTTTTGCAATTGGTTTAGTCGTTTCTTCACACTAAGCAAATCTTTCAGCATCTTCTATATGTTGTATTCTTTCAGGACATGGGCAAGTATGGCTCTCCTCAATGTCATGTCCTTTGTAGACATTGGCAAACTTTGACATTTTACTATCTCTTCTAATCCATATTCTGCCAACCATTTACAAAAGCTCATCAGATTAGTTGCTGCTTTCCTCTACCCTTCTTGGCTTCAATCAGTCCTGTGAGTGTCAAATTTTCTAAGCCCTCTTCCCTCATTATGTGTCCTATAAATTTCAACTGTTTTTTTTCTGATTCTAATTGAAGATTTGAGGAAGATCTATAGTTATTTGTTTTAAAGCAACTGATTATTATTTTCACTAAAGTTTAAAAAAGGTAATCTTTACTTATTAAAGAATTAACAAGCAAAAGCCTCAATGCATCAAATAGGTTTTAGTTGCCATTTAAACTTGACAAAATTATAACATTGCAGTAACAGTACACTTAAATTTTATTGCACATGAATTTGATTAAATATCATTTAGTTGTTTTTGTCATAATTACTAATCACATTTTTTTCAATAATGATCTCTTCCCAAACCTCGTTAAGTTTCTTTGTTAGAAGTTAACCTATTAATTATTTAAAAAGATAAAGTATTTACATAAGAGATTCAAGAACATGTTTAATTAGGTTCTAATTAGAACAATTCACTTACTTTAATAAAGTCTATTGAAAAAACAAGGATATCTTTATTTCATCCCCAAAAGTGTTTATAATCAATAAATTTGTTTGAAAGATTTCATCACTTTCATAGTTAAAAGCAGGTCCAGTGCAAGGGCCTTGTGGGCCTCCACTGAATCTATGATGCCCCAACTGACCAATCTATGATGCCCCAACTGACCAATCTATGATGCCCCAACTGACCAATCTATGATGCCCCAACTGACCAATCTATGATGCCCCAACTGACCAATCTATGATGCCCCAACTGACCAATCTATGATGCCCCAACTGACCAATCTATGATGCCCCAACTGACCAATCTATGATGCCCCAACTGACCAATCTATGATGCCCCAACTGACCAATCTATGATGCCCCAACTGACCAATCTATGATAAGGTGTTCTCCACTCTACTACATCCCAATTCTCATAAGGTAGTATTCATATAAAATACAAATTTTATTGTAATCTAATTATGTATAATAATAAATCCTATGCAATATAGGTGGAAATTCAACTTGAAAAATTGAAAATAAATACAGTGTATTGAAACACAAATTAGAGACATATATCATAATAGATTTTTCCATCTTAAATAAATCAACAATGTTTTACAACAATTTTTAACATCAACTTGAGATTTTTCTTGTTAAAATGTTGAATAATTTTAAAACATTCAACATTATGGATAAAAAATAATGAATTTTACAGTTTTTTTTCAAGATATTTTCAAGACTGTGTCGAGGGGTTTGAGTATAGTATGCACCAGGCCTGGCTACAAATATATGCAAATTTTTGTAGAAGAGAAAATATGAGTAGAATTGTAATATGAAAGTACTTCCCTCCTTGTCAACTGTAGTTAAATGCATTGCCATATGAACTATATGAAATTTCTATATTGTTTCATAATGTTTTTTATTTGCAAATTATTTAACGCCGGAAAATATTTTTAGACTGTAAGAATTTTTTGGGCATAATAATGATCTGCTGATACAAGTCCTACTATTTAATCCATAGCTGGGGGAGGAGAGATGGATTCATATCTTCCCTAAGGCTATTTACATGTAAGTTAATATAATGAACCCAACTGGAATTGGAACTTGGATCTCTGATTTCTAATTCTGAGCTTTTATCCATTATACCACTGGTACATCCAGGCTTATAGCACCTGGTATTCCCAAGTGATCACTCATCTAGGTACTGACCAGGCTTGATGTTGCTTAACTTCAGTGAACTTATGAGAACTGACGTTTGAATGTGATGTGTCCATACGCCTCTATATGAGGGAAGATGATTATAGTTTTGAAGTATAACCATATAAGGGGTGGTTGTCTTGTTCTTCATTTAATAATGTCCTCCCTTTCTATAAACATATTGGTGCAATTGGCTTTGGTCCAAGCTTAGAAGCAGTCGCAGGCAGTTTTTCTCATTCTGTGTCTATACAGTCAGTGCATTTGTGTATTTGTATCAAATGCTAAAAGATAATTTATGTACATAATAAGAGAAAGTCTATAAGCACCCATAGTTGCATGGTGAGGTGAGTATTTTTTTTTCTCCACAAATCAATTTGTTTAAAATGGTTGGCTTGTATTCAAGCTTAAGCATATTTGTTTGAACTTCAAAAAAAAAAAAACTCTTGCAAAATGTCTGCTACAATTCTCTTGTTTTATATCCATAGAATGTACATTACTTAACCTGTTAGATTAAAACAGTATTAATGGCAGGTATAAATAGTTATATCCCTTAGACACTATCTGACCATAATTAGTAAATTTTTATTAAAGCATTTGGTATCAAAAGGGTCTATTTATTTATTTACTAATAATTAGCAGGCAATTTTATTTGGTCTTTAGGTGTCTTCTAAAAAAGATTAACTTTGCTGATAACATAGTGACCAATGTTTTGGCATACATGGACCAATATAAAGAATGAATACATTTTTCTGAGCAATTGCTGGAATGGTACTTATTCTAGACAGTTAATGAAAATTTGAAATTCTTGCAATTCTTAGCCAGTTTATTAAGTAATAGTAGATAGTCTTAAGTATGTAAAAATAAAATATATGAAAACCAGTTGGATGTTGAAAAAATGTTATAACTTAATTGTTGATGTTTCACTACTTTACATAAGCATTTTCAAAACACAAATGAAAACTCTAAGGAAAAGTCATTACTATGGCAACTCTGATACACAAGAAGCTGCATTCAATTTGAAATATTCTAAAAGGTAATAGAATATTTAATAAAATATCCAAGACCAAATCAAAAAGACTGACACGTAGAAAATGTTAAAAATAAAATGCAAATATGATGACTGAACAGAAAAATTAAAAATGCATAGAGAAAAGTTTTGGTGAGAAAACTAAAGCATATGTAGTTAAAGAAAATGGTGACTACTTGAAATAGCTTTAATAATTTAATAATTAAAAATATTAATTAGATGTTAAGGGAAGTATAAAATTTAATTTGAAATTTTTAAACATTTAGCCAGTATCTGTTTTAATATTATTTTCTTCAAGTTTTATCTATGTTAGAAAAGGTTGTTATAAAAACCTACTTTTTGATTAATCAAATTGAATTTTGATAGCATAACTGGTTCAGTAATTCTTCTAGTTGATTTACAATGAATAAATTTAACAATTTCAGCATTAAAATGGTTTCATAGCATTAAGTATAGCATAATGTTCATTCTTTATATTGTACAGTTTTGTGATTACTGTTTTATCCTGGCTTAATCATTGCATTATGTGGTTGGTTTGGGCAAATTTCTTTATAGTTTTTTTTTTTTTAATAGCATTTCAACTATCTAGCTTTCTTTGGATGTTTGGTGTGTTCTATGAAAAATAGATAAAAGTTGAGGAAATTTGATTGCACCAATAATGATCAATGATGAAAATGCATTTAATAAAATTCAAGCAAGACTTAGATTGTTTAATATAAAAACATTCCAGGTATTAATGTATAAACATCAATGGCATTGTTTAACCTTTATCCCCCCCAAAAAAAAACTGTCAAAAGGACAGTTATTCCCTTGACACCACTATTACTTTATATACTTTTGATTCCCTCGGCAATGTTTATTTACAATATTATAAAAATACATAAAACAAGAGCAATGTGATATTTATTATTTATCATTTTATAAAGAAATAAATTTGAAAAATATTTTTATTAAAAAGTTTATAAAAAATTTCAAAATTATCAAAATATGTAAACTACAGGGTAATATTTATTATTTACCATTTTATAAATAACTATGAAAACAAGTTTTTTATTTATTTCTTAAATTATATTTATTTATCCAAATAACAAACATTAATCATATTATTTGGATGGCATGAACGCAACAATGACCAAGTAAAGGCGTAAGTTTGACAGCCAGTTCCCAGTGTTGAGTCTAATTTGTTGCTTGCAGTTCTTTGTGTCACACTTCCAATAGATCCTAGAATCAAAACAGAGCTTCAGTGGATGGTCATTTTTGCAATGCTTCTCAGTTGGCAGGAACCTTTCACCTTGAAGCAGGCAGACAACATCCTCTTCATTTCTTGGCAGCTCCCCAAAATTAATTTAGCAGCCTGAGAAAAAAAAAATAGCATATCTAACTTTATAAGAAGTAGTGACATATAACCCACAAGTACCTAATATTCAATGACAGTGGTCGCTTCAGGAAGGTTTATATTGTCAGGGCTTATGTTGATCATTTTAAAGTTGCTTATATTTCGGATGTGGTTTCAATTTATTTTTTTTTTATTTTAAAGAAAAAAAGAGTAAAGGTCTCAAAGATTCATTTAGCAGTTTGAAAAAAAACACCTCATGATAAAAAGTGGTAACAGATAATCCACTTTCATATGTTTTATTAAAATTATAATCATTGCTTTTTAAAACAAACATTGCTGAAAGTCATGTATATAGTAATAGTTGTGTCAAGAGAATAACTGTCCTTTTGATACATCATTTTTTTTTTTTTTTTTTTTTTTTTTTGGGTATGAAGGTTAAACATTGCCAACATCGATTTGTAATCATTAGAAGAGAAAATAATAATTTTGAAAACTTGACTCTGGGATTTAGTTAGGAAAGATGTACAGCCTGACTAGAAAGATTAATATTGGCAAGTTAATTGAGTTGTTGCTTGAATCAATCAAAGGCCTACATCAGTATACTTTCATGACAAAGATCTAACAAATATTTTATTTGATGCTCGAAAAATTATACAGATCAAAGCAGTTGAAATTCACTTGGATGAAATGTGCATTGAAACAGGAGGCTTACATCTGAAAATCTTGTGGATTCAAGTGCGCTGAATGTCAACATCACAAATTTGTAAGCAACTAATATAGAAGCATGGAGGCAAGGTGGAAAAACGGATAGTGGCTCTGATTGAGGAATCAGAGTGCAAAGTACATTGTATTCATTTACATGCTAATACCCTTGAGAAAGGTATGAATCTATTTCTTTCTCCCAGCTATGGGTAAGTAGCAGAACTGACTATAGCCATGGTTGGTAACCAGTCTAGAGAGAAGCAAAACTCAAACTATCTGCTAGTTTGTAGGTGATGCCTCTTTAGGCAAAGGCTAGAAGGTAACTTCAAAAACAAATCCACTTTGAATATAGTCTTGAAGAAAGGAACCTACTTCTAGCCACAACAAAAAATAAGGGACTCCTTGAGCTTAGTACAATGGTTTGACCAGACACAAGACTGAGACATGGCACAGCACGGTGGACGTCACTGATTTTGAACCATTCACGCATAGGTGTATCATCTATGGCACTTTAGACGACGAATATAGAAACAAATAGTAATCATTACTGTACCCAATGCTCAAATCTTAGTTCTTCAGTTGCAATGAATTTCTAAGATTTGTTTCTGTGAGCATTCATGCTGTTGCAGGTTTTATAACAGTCTTTAATAAATATGTTTATTTTATACTATGCTAATAAATGAATTTTCATTGATATAGGTCACTGCTACTGTTATGGCTATTTAGGAGTCCTTTTAGTAATTGCTCTTGATACCAATGAATTTGTATAATTCCAAGAGATTAATTCATATTAACATTTATTATGAATCTTACAATCCACAGTGGTTTTGAAACAAATGATATTAATATTTAAGAATCAGTGTTAATGAATAGAGATGTAATAGTGATGACTGATGAAAATAATGTACAACATGACCTTATTAAGTTGGAAAAATATGGTCTGAAAATGCTTCTGGATCAAGAATACTTTTCACCTCTTGAATTCTCTTCCGGTTTCATGCTTTCATGCCACCTACAATCTTCAAAAATTTAAATGCAACATCAATTGTCATCTTCTGTCTTCCTGAATCATGTCTTTTATTGTCCTTTCTCCTAGTAACAACTTGCATCTTGTTAGCATTATCGCCTTGCTTAAGGGGAATGATTAAAATTTTATACATATAAAAAATATGGTGGTATATAATCCAAGTGGATCCTAGTGTTTTTATATATATATATATATATATATATATTAAATTTATTTTTGTGATTTGTTTTTAATTTCTTCTTTAATTTTAAATTTAGGTTAAAAATTGTTTTTTCTTCTAATAGCCCCAATTTGTCGTCATAAGGTTATTATTATTATTAGTTTTTTTTTTTTTAAATGAAACTTCTTCCCTTTTAAGATAGATACCTAGCACCCTTCTTGACCCCAGTCTTGTGCCTAGCGTCTGATTGAAACAGTGAAAAGTGTAAATTCTGTATTAGGTGTTTTCGTGGTTTAAGTTGACTCTTTAGCTTCCAAATTCAATTCCACACAGTTAACTGCTACATCCCCACTTCCTCTAACATTACAGACATGAACTTCATTTCATTCCACACTAGGGTTGAAAAGACAGATGACCACTTTCATTATCTGCTAAAATAGCCTAATCAAACAAATCCATTTACTTCATATGGACAATATGAAGTAAATGGATTTGTTTGATTATTAATTTTATATATATCAGGTCATCCCATAAGTTCTGTCCGAATTTTGAATAAAGAAAAGATGTGACCAAATGTTACATTTAATTACAGATTCAATCAAGAATGTATTTTCCCTGATTATCTATGACTTTCTTTCCATCTATTAACAAGCTTACTAATTCCATTAGTGTAAAATTATTTTGGCTTTGATTCAAAAAAACTCACAAATGTCAGTTTTAACCTCTTCCTGTGTTACAAAAGCTGTTTCTTCCAAATGATTCTGTAAGCTACGAAACAAATGGTAGTCAGAAGGAGCAAAATCAGGAGAA